TGAAAGAACAGTCAGTGCTATTAACCACAGAGCCATCTCTACACACCCAGAAGTAAAATATTTACTGTCATAACACTCAATGATTGGCTGAAATAGACTATTTATATAATTACATTTTTCTTTACAAAGTGTAAAAAGAAAACATAAAAGTGGTTGTACTAAGTAGTTCACAATTGTGGGTAAACAACAAAGTATATAATGTCATATATGTATGTAGCTAACCATAATGAAGCATGCTATCTCAAATACAAACTACTACCAAGTACCACAACTGGTCACACACAGGCATTGCCTATGAATTGCCCAGGCCTATGTGACACATCTACAATGCAGCCTCTAGACCTAAGCCTCATGGAACATGAAACAGAGATAAAGAAGAGGACACTAATGAATCTCTCAGTTCTCAATGATGAAGCTCCCTCATGTAGTAGAGGGCCAGGAACACAAAAGGTCACAAATGGCAAAAGTGTAGAGATCAAGAGTCTGCTGAATAATGGTCCTGGGACAGGACACCTTTTTTAAACTTAACCCACCCAAGGCTCATCTAGCAGCAGGGAGGAGGTGTATGACCATATGGAAACAGAGTCCTACAAGCTCCTGGAAACCTGCTCATATGATTCTATGACAATAATGTCAGCATACAGAAGTCCCATGCAAACTCAGGCAGACAATACCCCAGCATAGAAGGGGGAAAATGAACAGCAGACCTCAATCTAGTCTAAAGGAATGTTGGCAACTGATTGATGCTAGATGAAGAAGAGCTGATCTTCCTAAACAAGGGACTCTAGATAGGCTGACTAGATTCAGTGGAAAGACTTGCACTGGTGAACAGCAGGGGACACTGACAACCCAGTGGGCCTTAACAGGGATGACATGGCATATGGGTTCTGGGCAGGGGGTGCTATGGGAGGGTACCAGTGAGGACTGGGGTATGAAGATGATTGAGATTGAGATGTTTTATATGAAATAAAAAATTATGTGTGTGTATATATATATATATATTACCATTATCAGATACTTTCAGAAGAAAAAATTAATAAGGAAATTATATTTTTTAGAGAAAGACTAAATAGATCCAAAAGATGGTTATTTTGACATTTTGCTAATATGAGTAATTTTTATCTTTGTGGTTAAGCCTACTAATTTTATACATTTTCCATAATAAGTACTAGTACTTTAATCATTTGAAGAAACCACTGCAACCTGATTTTATACTAAGCAGTCATTTATTTTTATGCTGTGTCTATGACTGTTTTACTCACATGTGTGTAAGGGCATCACATGCATGCAATGTCCATGGTAGTCCAAAGAGGGCATCATATACCCTGAAACTGAGATAACGATGGTTGTTTGCTGCCATGAGGGCGCTGTGAAAGGAAGCCAGGCATTCTGGAAGAATAGCCAGTATTCTTTCCCCTTGAGCTGTCTGTCTCTCCAGCCTCCTTTGTTTTGCTTTGTTGCTGTTTTGTTCATTTGTTTTGGGTTTTGCTTTGTGTTTTAAGTATCTTCAAGGGAAAGCAAAGGTTCGGTTTGCATTCTTACTTTTTCTATCTATCTCATTTCAGCTGTAAGTTCTGTGGCATTTATGCTAGTACACACCTTCATTAACCTGTCTGCAATTTTTCTTTCATTCAGCTAGTTGTCAGACTTAATAAATCTTTAATTTCATCTAAAAGAAAAGAAATTGCACATATATGTGCATATGAATACTCTCCACTCCCCCCAAACTGGCTAAATTATAAATAACATGCATTATCTCTCATTGTGTGTAATTATTTTGTTTATGCTAGAGGAAGAAACAGTAATGAAAAGATACAGAGGAGAATTACAGCAAAGAACATGTACTTATTAATTCTTTTAAGGACTAAATTGACAGCTCTACTTTGTTTGCTGTACTGTATCTTGAACTTGAATAAAAGAAGAAAGAATACAGTTAGTGCTTTCTTCTCAGTCCTGTGGATTTAGAGAATGAATAATTGGAAAGAAATAATTGATCCTTCTTCCCTAGGATCAAACACTGAGTCTTATGTTTCATATGAAAACAAAATTTTGTTCTATTTATCAATGCAATATTCATGATGAAACAATAAAGAACTATACTAAAACAAGGAACAGAGATATTTATTGCTCTGTGGATACTAGAAAAATGACAACTGAGGAAAAACGAAGGTCTGGATAAAACTTAAGCCACCAAATATTTTTAGCAGAAGACCCTCAACTTTTGCTCACGGAGAAATAACTTCAAATTATAGGTTTGGAAAATACAGATGAATACTTAATGGTAAACCATAAAAGGGGCACTGAACTCACTCAGTGGGGACTCATTTTAATGTAGGCTAAGAACTCCCTGACACCTATGGGAACTGTTTTCTTCCTCCCACTGCGAGGAGAAGCCCATCAAAGAGGCTGTGTAACAACAGGTTCTGCAGTGACTGTTGGTGGCTGTGGGCAGCATGTGTGTTTTCAGTTAACCTTCTTTATTGAGCTATTTTCCAGCTTAGCCAGGATGCTTCAGGTAATCACTGGCATCCTGCAGTCAGCTTATAACTCAGATAGGTACGACCCTAAGAGAGAAGTCACCAACAAGGCTGAAATACATTGTGCTCCATAGTAGAAAGGGCAATCTTCAAGCTAACATGGTTTGAAGAAAATTAATATCCCATTGCTCTCTAAACTTTGTGTTACATAAACCCCTGGATTTCAGAGTAGAAATATTTCTGATGTCCTTTTGAAAATCTTATGTAACTTGTATTTAAGAAACCAAAAAATAAGAATTCTCTAAGTCATAAATTTGTAGGCCTTTAATGAAAGCTTTGCACCAAGTAAGTCTTATCCCTGTATTATCTCCCTAGTCCAACAACAGTTGGTTGTTTAAAGGCAGGGCAAAAATAAGAAAGAATACTGAATGCTCAAGGGGTACTTTCCATTCTCATTCTTTCAAAGGCATGGAGAATTGAAAGCTATCTCTGTACTTAAAGAAGCATGGCTGAGACCTAAAAAATAGTTTTATTCTTTCTGTGTTGTGGGAGGGGGTAGTCCTTTTACATTTCAAAACCAGGCTAATTGAGGGCCAACTATCCATTGCACCCCATCCTACAATACAGGAAAGTTTGTGCTGATCCTTGAAAATTACATTTGGCATCTTTTAGAGCATTTCCTAGACTTTCTATGTAAAATCAAGCATGTAGCTTTGTAAGGGAAACCTCTGACTTCTTTGAGGCAACTACCCTGCATTCTGGACACTTGAACTCCCTGATTCTAAAAGAATTCCCATACAGTTCACTTTTCCTTTTAAAAAAATAATAATTCCAGGGGTTGGGGATTCAGCTCAGTGGTAGTGTGCTTGCTTAGGTAGCACAAAGCCCTGGGTTCGGTCCTCAGCTCTGGAAAAAAAAAAAGACAAAAAATAATAATCCAGTAGTCCCACCATTGTCTTGGAGAGACAATCCGAGGCTGTTTTCCCTAAGTATTACTAGTATTCTTTCAGGAAAGAGAACAAAACTTTTTATATAATTCTCATTTTTATTATACTTGTTTCAATTTAGCATAAAAGTGCTCTATTCCAGGCTGTTGAGATAGCTCAGTAAATAAAGGGCTTGCCATGCAAGCATGACACTCTGAGCTTATGTCCTAGAATCCATGTAATAAATCGGAATGTGATGACATTCAACTGTAATCCTAGTTCTATGGAGGCAGAGGCAGGTGGATTCTTGGGACTCAATAGACAACAAAATTATTATTGTAAAAGGCAAGCTCCAGGCCCCAACAACAACGGGATATTACCCAGCTATTAAGAAAACTGAAATTATGAAATTCACAGGTAAATGGATGAAGCTGGAAACAATTATCCTAAGTGAGGTAACCCAGACTTCCAAAAGAAAAATGTACATGTTCTGTCTCATAGCTGCTTTGACTCTTTAGACAGGTTTGTTTGAACTGGAAAATTCTTAGAGATTATGAAACTAATAAGGGACTATGTGGGATGGTTCCTAGGACAAGAGATAGAATGCAGTGATGTAAATGGGGAAAGGGGAATAATTGCTAGAATGGATTTAATGGGGTGGAGAACGGGAGGTTAGAGCAGAAGAGGGAGTAAGAGGAGGAATAATGAACATCAACGGCCTTTTGAAAGTCATGTGGAAACCTACTGTAGAGACTTCTTTCAATGTATACATATACAATATAAGAAGAGTTTAAATGTGGTTATCCTATCTATTATTAGGGTCAGTGTCCCTATTAGACACCACAGGCTAGCAAATGAAAAGCCCAATGCCAGGAATCGACTCACTCTTTGGGAGTTGTTAAAAAGAGAGATCTCATAGACCCTCAAACAATACTGGCTATTCCATTGCACTTGCTTGCCACTTGACAGTAAGACCCTACTTATTGCTGAAGACACTACCTTCCTGAGTCACAGACCAAACAAGGAGAAATCAAGCTGGTACTAACCTTAAGATTCATCTCTGTTGGCTAGCTTTAGTATCACTAGAAGGTGCTTTGCATGTTATTGGCAAAGAAAGATAATCATCAACACTGCCTACCTATGAACCTATGAGTTACAACAATTGGCTTGGTAAAGCATCCCCATTTGTGTGCTAGCGGTATGAACCTTATGGGAGTTACCAACCACCTTTTAAAAGCTGATTGCTCACAGTGCTAGAGTAAGCACTCCAGGTGTCTTCCATGTTTGAGTATTGCTCTATTCATGACTCTGTCACAAGATGGAATTCATCCTTGACAACGTTATCAGGGCCAAGAACCTGTGACTACATGGTCACAGGCTGTAGGTGAGAACCTACCACTATCATTCTGCTAAACAGGTATAGTACTAAACTGAATCATTATGACTTATTGTTATACCCACAGATTAGTGCATCTCTCAACTCTCCCAAGAGAAGTTTCTTCTTGGAGCAGATGACAATTAACCCAGAGGCCCCTAAATGGTCAATGTGTAGAGGATAAGAGATTGTAGAATGCACAACCCTAAATGGGACACTTACTTTGAATCTTCTCCTTCCAAGGCTCAGGGATCACTGTGGAAGAGGAGACAGAAAGATTGTAAGCCAGAAGCAGTAGATAAATACAAGGAAACTGCATTGTCTGGATACCATAGGGTAGTTGCACATAAGAACCCATAGCACTTATGACAGTATGCAAAAGACTTGTGCAAACCCAAGCCAGGCAAGAGCCCAGGATGGATGGGGAAGATGGGCAGGGAGGTGGGGAGGAAGCATGATCCCTAGCTGAGGTCTACTGGTAACTGGGAGACTCTGGGAGAGGGAGAGTCAGTTTCCCTTGATGCTGGGTCACCTGGTAAATTGACTAAACTCCAAGGGATAAACCCACACCCAAGAGTATTTAGGAATAACAGATTAGATTTTATAGGGATTTTTTAAAAAGACAAATAATGACAGAGGACATGGGGAGGGTAAAAAGGTAGGGGTTGAAAGGGAATATGACTATGACCAAACTATATTGTACAAAATTTTCAATTCAATAAAACTATTATTATTATTATTTTTTTAAAGAGGTGGTTGGTAGCTGGGGAACAATACCCAGTGTTGACCTCTGGCCTCCACACAGATGTGTAAACATGTGTATCAACTGCCACACACATAAAATGTTTTCTAATTCTTTTGCCAACAAGCTACATTCAGTTTAAAAGAAGATGAGTCAAATCTTCCATGACACAAACTCTACAAGAATACTGAACACAAGGACTGTGTACTGTATCCCTCATGAGGATGTCTTATCACAGTCCTGGCTAAGCAAGTAAGAAGGAGACTATTAGTCTGGATTGTTTCTGCAACCAAAGGTCCTATGTATATAGGCTGGAACTTATCACAGAAATAGTTCTCACTCATAATCGACCCACAACTAAGTAAAGCAAACAAAAGAACAAGCCTTAGCCATTCGTAAACAGCAAACTAGCTGATTGGTTATATAACAAATGACCTCCCATTATATCATCTATATAAGGGAAATTTCTCATTATTCCATAGCTAAATCAACACATCTCTGCAGCCAGTCTGTGACCCTTCTAATTCAGCCATTCTAGCCTAGAAAAGCTGATTGCTCAAAATGCTCACAGAGCACGCCAAATGTCTTCCAGGTTTGAGAATTGCCCTATTCATGAATCCTTCCTTGATTGAATAAACTTTTGAAAGTTCATCTTGTCCAAAGTTTTTCTTTAAAGAGTTTCAACAACCCACCTGCTTGTTGTTCAAATGATTATTATAATTTATCCTTGGAATCTGTTCTTAAGTGCACAAAAGCTGGAAGCTCACAAAAACTGTACATGCTTCCTTTTCCTGGGCCAAACACTTATATTTTGGTTTTAACTTTCCAACTTTTCTGTACACGACTGAGATTTGCATATGATTGTTTTAGGACTGTTTCCTTTAGTGGAAGAGTGAATTCTCAGTTTACTTGAAGGTTCTCCTAATAGATGTATTTGATTATTCACTAAACTTTAAATTTTATACACAATTTGGTACTTTCTAAAAAAATTCTTTTTTTTGGTACTGGGGACTCAACTCAGGACTTTACACAAACTAGACAAATACTTGATTACTGACTTATATTCCAAGCCCTGGAAAATTATTTCCTGCCAGTGCGATATTCTGATCATGGTGACATGGCTTTAGCACACTGGATTTCTTCCCATTTTATTTGAGATTCTTGTCAATGCTTGACAGTTTGGATTCCAGACTGCCAATAAATTTCACCAAGAATTAGAAATGTGTTATGGATTCTTTAATACTCTTTATGAGATGCAATGTGAGGCAGTGCCTTTTGGAGATATAGAATTGTGCTCCTAAATTTCACTCAAGAAAGATTCAGAATGCCTTAAAAGGATGTCAGAATTTTCCTTAAGTACCTCTGTCTTCTAATAGTACAAACATTCTTATTCACTACTATAGAGAACAAAACCTGTCACTGGGTAGGATAGGATTCTTTAGCCTTTCCCTCTTCCTGACTTATGACAATGAACCTGAGACTCAAAATCCCTGTTATGGAAACCAAAAGTAAGTTTTATGGTTACTAGTACTGGAATAAGAAAACTCATACAGACTCTGTTATAGCCTTGGGAAAAACATATCACATGAGCATCTGTAAGAGGATGACAGCTTTAAATATGGGCTCAGAATTAGCATTTCGTGTTTATACCAGATGTCAGGTATACTGCTTTTCTCTGAGCTGTCAAAAAGCAAATATGGAGAGAAAAGGTCAAAGAATCCTCAGGGATGTCAGTAGTACTTATGGATGATAATGATGGAAAAAAGATTGCTTTACGTCTACATATATCACCACTTCAGATGTCACGTCATTTCTTAGGTAGAACTAGAATAGGTCTTGGTAAGAGATTTGTGGAATGCAATATGCTTTGACACTAGAGTTGAAAACACGCCACAGTTACCAAATGCCTGCCAGAGGGGGTCCCCTTTTCTGAAGATCAATGATTATGATGATTGATGGACTGCTTTGTCTACCAGGAAACACCAGTGTGTTGTTGTTACTAGAACAGATGAAATGTGAGCCACACATAATTAATTGAATTTACAAAATGCCAGTCGTGTATTAACTAGTCAAAGCAACCCTTTAATTTACTCCCCCAGATTTCATGATGTAATGAAGAAGCTAACCATTAACACATCAAGACATCTATAGACAAACTCATTCTGAACAAGTTCAAGTAAATAAATCAGCTTATTTTCAGATGAAATTGGAAGAGACATTTTGCACCCTCTCACACTCCCTCCTCTTTTCTCCCTCTAGCCTTCCTTCTCCTCTGTAGTCCTTTCCTACTCCTTCCTTCTGCTCATCTTTTCTACCTGAATTGTTCCTTATAGTGTCTCAGTAAGGAATCTTAGCTTTAACAAAATCTCATATAGCAGCATGGTATTTAAATAATTTAAAGAGGGAGTTGTAAAAATTAAGAGCTGTACACAAAGCTGTTTCTTTAATTTTAAAAGCACTTACAACCCTCTTCAGTATAGTTTGACAGGATCTGATAGGTTTCTGGGCGGTGTGGCTGTTGATTTCAGTGCATTTTGAAAATGAAAGTTTTGGCCTATCTTCCTGCTAGGTCACTATTTCATAATGAGAATTCCCAGAACATCCGTTGTGAAAGATGCTCCATGAACAAGAGTTTCTGTTCTCTTTTGGGAAAGGTTGCACCCAAATATTTCCCATAGGGTATGTAAAATCAGCATTGTCCCGTCAAAGCTATGAGAAACAAAAGATGCTTTCTCCATCATTTCCAGAAAGGACTTTTGAAAACTGTGCTAATATTTTTCTATTATACTTATTACTATCCCACAAGAAAACATTGTGAAAATGTTGTTCAGTGATACTCAAATGGTCTATTAGGCTAGCACAAGACTATAAAACCATTAAAGAATATAAAGAGTCTGTAGAACAAATAGATTTTACACCTTTGCTGGCTATACTTTACTGACCACAGACTTGTTAGAGAAGAGATGCAGAGCAAGTTTTCAATTTTGTGTGAAGTGATAAAGGATACATGTGATACAAGTGATACATGTTATGCTGTGAAAACAATCAAAAGAGATTTTAAAAAGAAGACGAGTGGCCTTCAAAAAGAGTAACTCCTATAAAGAGTCTAAGCATGCAAGAAACATTGAATGTGCTAGAAATAAAAGGAAGGTTTATGACTGTGTATGTGAGTGTGAGTACGTGTTGTGTGTGTGTGTGTGTGTGTGTGTGTGTGTGTGTGTATTTTTCAATACTGGATATTGAACCTGAGGGCTCCTGGATGTAAGGCAATCACTACCATGCAGCTATACACCCAGAACTTTTTATTCACTTTTCATTTCGATTCAGTGGCTAATTAAGATGTCTACTCTGACCTTGAACTCCCTATGCAGGTTAAATTAGCTTTAAACTCACAATTTTCTTGCATCAACCTCTCAAATAACTGGGATTACAAACCTGTATCCACCAGCACTGGTGAGAATACTCTTAAATTTCCTAGACTTACATAAAATTTCCCATCAGGCAAAATAAGCCTTTTGCTCAGAGCTACAGTAGAAGAATTAGTGAAGTTCTACTTATTTATTGTATTTATGGAAACAGGATACATCTGCACTAAAACTTGGCTTTTACAATGTATGCCATTTAACTTTCCAACTCACCTTTTCCCAGATAATATCTACCACAAAATATTATTGAATTTGTGCTTAGGCCTAATAAGTTCTCACTTGTTCATCTCATAACTTTTCTGTATTTCGATGACTGATTTAGCTTCACTTTGGGGACATAAAACATTTGCTAAAGAAAAGTAATGATGTAAATTAGGCTAGAATGGGGAGATGCTTAATTACTTTAAAGAAGTGTGTAAAACAAATAGGGAAACTCCAGAAGGACTGAACTCTGCTGTCCAATTCTGCAGGCTTCCAAGATCACATAATGAACTGCTTTAATTAGGCTTCTTGGGAATTATTTTATGTACTCCCAAATTTAATAAAAGTGAATTTTTCAAGACTATAAACCATATCCTTAGATGTCTCTGAGACTGTATTCTTCCATAATATTAAGTGAATGAAGCTTATCCTTTTTTCAATTCAGCATTAATTGAATGCCTTTGAAGTAGAGACTTTCTACTGTGGCCCACAGGTTGGAGGCACCCTTAAATCATGGGTTGTTTGATACATATTGTTTGAAAACAAATTTTAGTTTGGCCAAACTGAAGTTTCTGGCTTTTCTTGAAACTTTTAACAATGTACCTTCATTATGCCAATAATCAGCGGGAGAATGGCATAGCCTGGACTCCTTGTGTGGAGCCAAAGCTCCTCTCATTCTGAGATGGAATGCATTTTTCATTATATATTGCTTTTCTCTCCTTGGTTTTGTTATAATGTAATAAACCAGTTGCTACATCTAAGTTTCTATCCAATATGGAGAAATTGAAAGAAACTCCATGACTAATTTTATTACTATGAAGAATTACTTATTTATCTTTATGACCAGGAAGTTTGAGGTCCATTGATAAATGGCCATGAGTTGATTT